GATGCTGCTTGGCCTGCTGTGTTCATCCAGCCTTGCACCTTGTTGTCTCTGAGCTGCTATTACAGGTGGGTTTCTCTCAGCAAAACAATAAACTGTGCGGCGATAACATGAGGGTGCGGCGTGAATACCAGTCATTGTTAGTCTTGCTGTTTGTGCTCTTCCAGATTCAGTTTGAAACCTATCAATGCCAAATAAGAATATTTGTTGCATGTACTTAGGTAAAATGAAAAGTTTTGTTTTGCATACAGTGTGATTACATTGTCATGTGGTTTAGAGAGCTCACCCTTGGGAGCTGTGCTAGACTTTTCAAAGTTAGTGTCCACTCGTTCTCCCTCTCTCTCCAATGCAGATACTGTAGCCCATTCTCACTCAAACAGATTGACCGATAATCACTCTCCCTGACAGTTATTGTGTCTCACTTTCTCTTATGTCTTTCACCATCTCTTTCGTGAAGTCTGTGTCTCTCACTCACTCTCTCATGGAGTTAGTGTCTCTCTCTCTCTCTCACTCTAATGGAGTCAGTCTCTCTCTCTCTCACTCTAATGGAATCAGTTTCTCAATCTCCCACAACAACGGTTTCATTTTTTCTCTTTCTCTCTCTCTCTTCCTCTCTAACAGAATCACTCTTTGATTCTTTCTAATGGAGTTATTGTATCTTTCTGTCTCTAAAAATAGTACTGAGTATGTGTGTGTGTCTCTCTCTAACAGTGTTACTGTGTCTCTGACAGTGTTACTGCGTCCCACTCTCTCTGAGAGTATTATTGTGTCTCACTGTCTCAGAGTGTTATTGTATCCCACTCTCTCTGAGAGTATTATTGTGTCTCAGTCTCTCTGAGAGTATTATTGTGTCTCAGTCTCTCTGAGTTTGTGTTGTCCAGTTTCATTGACATTCTCCTTTCTCCTGTTTTACAGAGCTGTTGGGCTCCACAAAGCGGTTGAATGTTAACTATCAGGATTCTGACGGGTGAGTGCCACATCCTCCTGGTTACGTTAACCCCGTGCCATCTCTCAGTGCCATAAATCAGTCCTTGGTGCGGGTTAGGAAAATGCCCCAGGCAACAGTTTCAATCTCTCTAAGCAGCCCATGCTGGTTATCTGAAGAGGGCATCACCTCTGTTTGGGGAAAGCCTGACAGAGCATTTCCCTGGTATTTGTTTACACATAACAAGGCGATGATACCTGTCCTGTTGATTCTGTGTTTGATAACATTGAACACGGTGTGAGTATTGGAACATGACCTATGTTACCCAATCCCTGAGAGCTGTGATCAGCTTGAACTTTGAAACAGACGTAACTTGCAGACTCCAGTTTACAAGAAACGAAGGATCTAAAATAGACAAACAAGGAGGCCATTTAGCCCTTTGAGCCTGTTGTACTGTTCAATTTGATTCTGGCTGATCTGTACATCAACTGTATTGACTGCATCTGCTACTGCTCCACACCTCTCGATATCCAACAAAAAACTCTGTCTTAGAGGTTCCAGCTGAACCCTCTCGACTCTTCAGGCCAACAGAGATAGGGTTAGGGTTTGGATATTATCATATTTAGTGGAGGTAACTGATGGTATCAGATACAGGACACACATGACCAGTTGATGAAGTTCAACTGCTGGACATGTCTCTGTAAGCTGAAAACAGAAGTCGTTGGACACTAAGTGGTGGTCTGTCAATTGTCTGAAAGGGAGGAAATATTTGTGTGTGAGGCAGGTTCTGATGAAGGGTTGCACACAGAGCCTAAATCTGTCTTTTCCTTGCTGACTGACCTCATGTGCCCATCCAGCATTTTCAGACTTCTTTTTTTGCTTTCGTACTCAAGGGACTGAATAAAATGACCACTTGATGAAACTGTCTTCTCTAGAGTTCCCTCTTGTTTTAATTGTGAGTGTGTGGGTGATTTCGTTGAGGGGAATGGCTCTTTGCTTTATAAGTACTGCCTGGCCAATGCACGTGGCGCTGATATGGCCTTTGGGAGGGGAAATGGCTATGGCTCCTCATTTACTGCCCACTGTCTCGGTCCCCCACATGCCATCCTTTATTTACGTCAGTCCAAATAACAGGCTTCCTCAGAATGTTTAGCCACAGCGGGCATCACAAAAGATTGACTCCGAAATAACTTCACAGGGGCTGGTATCCCATCACTGAGTCACCCCTCATTTACATGTCCTTGACACCAACCCAGCTCCTTCAGAGCCAGCTCTCAGAGTGAGCAGAACCTCTTACACTCCTGTTTATATCTGTCAGCCAGGGCTCCCTGATTGGACCAGGTTAACAGCCCCAATCAGGGAACTCATATTCTATGAGGTATACCTGGGCTGACCTCGTTACAGTCACTGCAGACTCCTCATCCACTTCCTGTCCATCATTTCCTTCCAGCGCCATGGGAGGTTCCAAATTAGACTGTAGCTTTGTATTTGATTCCTCTACTCTCCCATGTGTTGCTCTCGGGAGCTGTGACCCTTGCCTTTCATTGGATATGTTGGATATTTTGCTTTGATTTGATTTATTGTAGTCACATGTACCTAAGTACAGTGAAAAGTTTTGTTTTACGAGCAGTACAGGCAGATCATAGCAAACAAGGACATACAGATCATAGGGCACTCAGACAGAACAAGGCATACAAGGTTATGACAGCACAGATAGAACAAGATTATGCAAGAGGGAGCTGCTATAGCAAGGGTAGGTCAGGGATGTGGTGCTAATGTCACTGGATAGTCATCCAAAGCCTAGGCTAGTGCTGTGGAGGTATGGGTTCAAATCCCACTTTAGCAACTCTGAATTTAAATTCAGTTAATTGGATGGGCTATAAAATCTGGTCGTAAATAATGGTGCGATGGCAACTGTTATCAATTGTTGTAAAAACACATCATGCTCACTAATGTCCCTGAGGGATGGAAATCTGCCATCCTTACCTGATCTGGCCTACATGTGACCCCAGACCCACAGCAATGACTCTTACCGGCCCTCTGGGGCAATTAGGGATGGGCATTAAGTGCTGGTCTAGTCAGTGGTGCCAACATCCCATGAACGAATCCAGAAAAAATATTAATTCTGATGTTCTTGTGAGCAGGGGTTTTGTCATTATTACCGATCCTGCAGACTTTGGCAATGCATTTGGAGAAACAGCTGGGCTGAGGCAGCTTGTGTAGTAAAACTAAGAAGCATAAATGTAAGAGGCGCCAGTAAATTCAATCGGAAATTCTAGAGAAACCGCTGCGCTTAGGGACTGCTGAGAATGTGAAGGAATTGTCGACGTGAGTGAGAGGTGCAGATGTGTTTAAGAAGAAGCTGGAACCAGTAGAAGGGCTGACAACGGAGATGACGTGGAGGTTTTTCTTTATTCTGTCATGGAACGTGGGCATCATTGGCAAGGCCAACACTTAGAGTCATAGCGTTGTACAGCATGGAATCAGACCCTTTGGTCCAACTCGTCCATGCCGACCAGATATGCTAAATTAATCTAGTCCCATTTGCCAGCATTTGGCCCATATCCCTCTAAACGCTTCCTATTCATGTCCCCATCCAGATGCCTTTTAAATGTTGTCATTGTACCAGCCTCCACCACTTCTTCTGGCAGCTCATTCCATGCCTGCACCACCCTCTGTGTGAAAAAGTTGTCCCTTAGGCTCTTTTTATGTCTTTCCCCTCTCACCTTAAACCTGTACCCTCTTGTTTTGGACTCCCCTACCCTGGGGAAAAGACCTTGGATATTCACCCTATCTATACCCCTCATGATTTTATAAAGTTCTGTAAGCCCACCCCTCAGCTTCTGATGCTCCAGGGAAAATACTCCAAGTCTATTCAGCCTCTCCCTATAGCTCAAACCCTCCAACCACAGCAGCATTCTTGTAATTCTTTTCTGAACCCTTTCAAGTTCAACAACATCTTTCCTTTGGCAGGGAGACCAGAATTGCACTTAGTATTCCAACAGTGGCCTAACCAATGTCCTATACGACCGCAACACAACATCCCAACTCCTGTAGTCAATGCACTAATCAATAAAGGCAAGTGTACCAAACACTGCCACCTCTACCCTGTCTATCTGTGACTCCACCTTCAAGGAACTATGAATGTGCACCCCAAGGCCTCTTTGTTCGGCAACACTCCCCAGGAACTTACCATTAAGGGTATAAGTCCTGCCCTGATTTGCCTTACCAAAATACAGCACCTCACATTTATCTAAATTACTTGTGACCCATCCTAAATTGCCATTGGACTCAGTGGTTTGCTGGGCTGGTTCAGAGGGAATTAACAGTCAACCACATTGCTGTGGGTTGTGAGTCACATGTAGGCCAGACCAGGTAAGGATGGCAGATTTCCCTCACTGAAGGACATTAATGAACCAGATGGGTTTTTATAACCATTGACAGCCTTGGTAATGATGACCATGAAACTAGCTTTCAAAACTAGATTTATCAATTAATTGATTTTAAATTCCACCAGTTACTGAGATTACCCATTGGCAAGATTTGAACCCGTGCCCTCAGGTCATTAAAATAATCCTGCAAATGCTAGGAATCCGAAGTTAAAAACACGAAGTACTGGAGAAACCCAAGAGGCATAGCAGCATTTGTGAGGCAAGAAACAGAGTGCGATATAATTCTTTTTCAGAATGCCACTATGTCACCATTCATTCGAGCAGTTGAAATGACCTTGTATGCATGGCCAGGCTGAAAAAAAACTGAAAGAGCTCCAGACTGAAGTGATCGGCTGCACTTTGCGAAGAGGTAGAACCTGCAGAGAGGAGCTGCCAACTGCTTGTTAACCTTGTTAGGAAATGGGAACAACCCAGAGAGCAGGAGACATTGCCCTGGAGGCTTGCTGGCTGCTTTCTCTCAGCAGCTGGACTGTGTCTTGGCTGCGGCTCGAGTCCCCATGTTTCACTGCAGATGTGTGAATGAACAGTGGGGACGGTGTCTAGGCGGCCATTCTGTTAGCTATGGCACAGCTGCTGAACGAAACCAGTCGTAGTGCTGACATCTGTCTGCAGGCTTGGAGAGACCAACCGGAGTGTTGGTTCTGATTAATGTGTCTGCTATGGGGCCCCTGAAAGCTGAATCAGTGCTGGGAGACAGGGCAGGAGGCAAAGGGAACGCTCATAGCTGCCTGCCATTGATTGTCAGCCCAGAGAACACAGCGGTAACGGCAAATTCTGAGCTCTTTCAAGATGTGGGGCTGCAGGGATTAGGGAAAGAGGTGAGTATAAGTTGCAGTAGCAGGGGTAGGTAGGCTATTATGTCCCTTGAACCAGCTCCGCCATTCACTATAATCAGGGTCAATCTGTTTCAACTCCACTTTCTCATCTACTCCCCATATTCCTTGATCTGCTAAGAGATTTGTCTATCTCGGGCAGTCCCAGTCAGGCATTGGCAACCCTTTAAGATAGAGAATTCCAAAGGATTCACAACCCTATCTCCTCCTCTTTTTCTGAAATAATCTTTCTGTTATCCTGAGACTGTATCCTGTGTTTTAGATTCCCTGTCCACAAGAAACAATTTCTCAGTGTCTACCCTGACGGTACAGCTTCAGAAATGTTGTTTTTAAATGAACTCATGGGATTTGGGCTGGGCCACCATTTATTGCCCATCCCTAATTGCCCAGAGGGTAGTTAAAAGAATCAACGATATTACCTCAGATCTGGAGTGGCTTGTAGACCAGAGCAGGTAAAGGTAGGGGGGTTATTTCTGACAATCGACAACAGTTGCATGGTCGTAATTAGATTCTTAATTCCAGATTTTTTTAATCACGTACAAATGACAAGATTTCAACCCAGGTCCCAGAACATTAGCTGAGTCTCGAATTAGTGTCTAATGATAACACCACTAGGCTGTCGCCTACCTGTATGAGCCTGGCATGTGAGTGTTGGTCCTTTACTTGCCCTCAGCACTTGTTTCGTGTCGTGTTGCCGAATCTAACCAGCTCGGAACTGAGCTCAGCTTTTCTTCCTCTCCATCACGTAAAGGAACAG